GCAAGATATTCGTAGCGACTTATGCACTTATATTGCCGTCTTCAGCTAAGGTGACAAGCTATTTTTCTTCATACTGTTCTTTTAAAATGTGCATAGGATTTATTTAAGTATTTTATTTGCGGAAGCGTGAACAATACTTTAGGAATCTCTTTAGGTAAACTGAGTCTGAAAAAGAGACCCCTTTCCAGAAAATTACTAGATTTTGGCGAGGTCTCATTTTGGCAATTATGGCAAGGCAACTGATGCATGTCCCATATTTCCATGAGAGTTCAGTTTCCTTTTTGAAAGGAAGCCTAATTCCATGAAAATTTATCACTCGGTTTCCGACCCATTAGAATATAAAGACAATTTCCCCACAATTCCATTCTCCGAGGAAACGTTGAGAAGAACGAATTTACTGAGAGAAAAATTGAGAGTTTCAACCGTTCAATTATTCCCGTTTATCTTTAATCAATTATTTCCAAGAATTCAACCCACAGTAGGTGAATGGTCAAGACTCGAACACATAAATCCTTTTACTGTTTGTCTTGCTATAATGCAACTGAAAAGAAAATAAATTATGTTGTGAAAAAATGTCCATAGAAGCCAATATTTTCGAAACTGAACTTGCGGAAAACAAGTAACCGCGGTGTTCTGTGGTAATGCACTGTGAGTCTTTTCGATTTCTTCGGTAAGCATGACGTCTGAATTCCTGATTCTGGATATACTCGGTTGAAGAGGGTATCGCTACCTTTCCTCTACTGGCCTTGAGGGTTGGGCAGGGGGTCGGGAGGTGGATCATTTCAGTTCAGGGAGATCACAGCAACTCCATTGTATTTGAATACCTGTAGCACGCTGGATAGAGGACCGCATCACTGAGTTCGGCGGCTGAACAGTGGCGTGTTCGAGTACCAACTAAAACCGCCACTATCCGTAAGCAAACATACAAACAAGCATAACCCAGATGTAGCTACCACATGACAGAAGGCAGATTTATTTTTGGAAATTTTATGTGAAAGCGACAAATAGTAAACAATGAAAGCAGTCGTTAATATTTCATATTGTAGCATTCAGCGTATTCCACAATGGCAGTCACGCTTCAAGCCTTTAGCGTCACGTCTGCGATGTTGATTCTCAGGGTCAAGCAGTTCAGCACGGACAAACTTTAGAAGCCAATGCTAAAATGATGCCGACAACGGTATTTACTAACGTAACGGCGACCGATGCAACGCAGATCCACATCGATAAGCCAAAGGATTGTTCCTTTGCCTCATTCACGAACTCAGAGATAGAAATCCCTTGTGAAGAAGCCATCAGGCAGGCTCCAGTGAAGTTTAACACAAAGCCGATTCCGGCAAGAATGGCTAAGGGCATTGTCAAACAAGACCTACAGCAGCAGGCGAAGCAATTGACGCAACCCCAGATGAAGCTTAGAGCAGAAAACGCAACGGCAAGGATGAAACAAACAGCGGCAGCTTTCTCCTGAGAACTCAGTCGCTAAAACCAACAACTACAATAGTTATCATAACCGTTGTAATAATCTGACTGCCTACGTTCCAAATGAGGATGCATTGATTTTCAGTTACATTCTGCGTGGTACAGCTGAAGAACAGACCATAAAGGCGTTTCGCGGTTCCAACGCTCAGCTGTTCGTCACCGACGAACCAGGACTGCGTTACCAAAGAGGCGACCTGCAGGATGGCCGCGGTCAACGTGCCAGCAACGTAGATGAAGGTCAGGAACGTCGAACACATGCTGATCCGGTGTGATGTCTGCGCCTGCGCTGTCGTTCACTACTGTGCCTCTGATGCTGGTCCACCATGCGAACGGCGCCGCAGCAGTTATATTTCCGCAATGACGAAGGCCTTAAGCCGGCGATGGCAAAAAGTACCATAACAAAAACTGACTGTTGCCAATGCTGAAAACAATTTGTCAGCCGAGCTGGATTAAAGTCAGATGCTTTACAAATAGTCGCACAAAGTTGCACAGAATGAATAGCATATCAAACATCGCTCAACCTCGATAATCGTGCGAGGCACATGAATGAGGAATACCCTTTCTATTTTTCGGTTAACAACTATGTGAAGTTCAGCAACAAGTTTCTGTGTGTGTTACTTGCGTGGGCTGTTTTAGCCTTTATTTCGAACTGGGCTTCCATCGATAATGCTTAAATTCAGCTTATCACTAAGATAAAATGGCAGCTCTATTTAATTGGCAGAACACGCCTATCAGAAATCGTCCTTTTGATAATTGGCAAAAGATACACAAACGATACCGCTATCAACATGTAGCAAAATATGACCTTTTTTAAACGTGCATGGAGCGTTGATTTTAAGCGACAGCTCGTTTCAACCCTTGACTCTGACGCCTATGTAGTTTCATCGTTTCCCAGCATATATGGCAAATGCAAATTATTAGATAATTTAGCAGCATGAATTAGACGAAATTTGGAATTCGAATATTTTCTTTATTCATTAAAAAAGAATCCCAAAAATGGTAATAATTTCAATTACACGCGACACTTTATACAGCCAAAACGGATTACGTTTCCAGACCTGACATGTTCCGATAGTAACATTCGTTTAATGTTATGGCATTATATGAGGTGATTTGAAAAAGCAAATGGGCCAAAGTGAAATTGCCTCAAACAATGGATTGGTTTAACTGCACGACAGTGGTTTGTCAGCACGCTTCATTTTCTGCCTTTTTCAAAATTACTGAAAGACCATACCAGATGTAAACTCAAAATTAAGTATCGTCTTCGATAAACAGCCGTTAAAATTCAGTTGTGTGCAGATCATTTAGACATTCTTTGTGAATCACACAACTTTTGAAGTGGTGCACATAGCAATAAAGGCATTTACAGTTCGAAATATATTATTGTGTTTTCCCTGATATCATTCTTATGAACTATTTTATTGTCTCCTTGTCCCAAGAAGAAGAAGGAGAAGAAAAGAGAGGATAAGCAGTACATAAAACGTAATATATCATGATATCAGGATATTGTGAAGTTAAAGACACGGCGGAAAGCAATTTCAGGAAAATTACATCACGCAACAAAATGACTCAAGGAAACGAAGTGAAATATAGACAGCAAGAGATCAGAAATCAAAGATCAAATACGTGGAACTCTGTGAATCGGTAAGGAAATAGAAGATATCTGACCATTTGACTACAGGTTGGTGGAAGAGACTATTGAAGACAACCGATGTATGAAGAAAGTAAATCAAAGATTGACGGCTAGCAGACGAAAAATGTGAGATGTCAAAGCAGAAAACAAGATAGTCGTCAGGTTTGAGCAGATTGGAAGATTTGTACAGAAAACGTGAACACTGTGATGACGATAAGGAACCAAAAGATACAAATTAAGCTGAGAAACTTCTGGGCATAATGTCGGAAGAAGTGCGATACGCAATAAAACAGGCAAAATGAGGAAGAGCTCCTTGCGAGACGGCTTTGTGGTAGATATCGTGGAATCAGGATGAGGATATGAAGCACTGACCATGATATTTGCGCGCGTTTTTTGCACCATCTGAAGGAACTGTTCAATGAATTAATTCTATAAGACAGGTGACAAAGAGGATCTGAGGAACTACAGACTGATCAGTTTGCTGCAAATCACCTACAAGATCTTCATAATGGTAGTAATGAGCAGACTTTAAAAGTAGGATTCAAAGGAACATGCAGGATTCAAAGATGGATTAATGAATTTACCTCATCGCCATGATTCATGAAAATTAACTGCCAGTTTAAGCTTCACGAAAACAAAAGCAAGTTCAAAGTAGCGTTAGACAAGGGGAAGAAATATAACTGATGCTTCCCAACAGCGCTGGTAGGAACTTCCAAGGCACTTTATCTGAAAATAAGGGACTGAAGATAAATGGGCACTAATCTCGCCAGATTCCTCATCAAAAGTGCGCCAAGGCAGAATCTATAGCTGAACGACACCCTCATCAAAGTAGGACCGAAAATGAACCTGAACAAGAGACAATGCACCTCAGCTTGAAGAAATGCTAAATTACGGCTCACTGGAACAGCTCGTCTCAACAGCGGCGAATCGACTGTACGAAATCTACAGAAAAGCAAAATTGGCATGCACAACATTCGGAAGTTAGAAATAGTTCTTTCACGAAATCTGTTCTTGTGCTTGAACCAAAACTTTTCGATTTGCGCGTGTTTACTGTGCTATCCTATGAAGTGAAATATAGACCCTAAGTTTGAGGGATGTTCATGAACTGCAAACTTTGCAACTCACCATGCAAAGGAGTACGGTTGAAATAACAATATGGAATGGGAAGATAGAAAGACGAATGAATTGGTACGAACATAAAAAAGAATCTGTCAAGTTTTTGCATGAGTGAAGAAGTTGACGTGGCTATGGGCAGAGCATACTGGACTAAATCACTAAGCAGAGTTCCAGGAAAGAGTAAACGACCGAAAAGATAACTTCCAGGTTGGGGACAAGTGGCTCATTGAATCAACATAGACAAGTGACAAGTTCAAGAAGCTCGTTGAATCAACGTAGACAAGAATCTAACAGAAGTATATTGCGAAGTCGTAGTGAGACCTTCATTCAACAGTGAATCAAAAATGGCTGACGATGTTCAGAGTAATGATGATTTTCACCGGTACTAAGGTAGGCGCAATATTGCATACTCTATAATCCATGTAAGAGATGGTTTCAAGGGTGCAGACAGATTTGCAGAATTCGACTTCAGTAGAGACGCATATCATACATTCATTTTTTCGTTGAAGGATCAGCGAATTTCTCCATATGATGGGCAGAGTAAGACGAATCAAAGGGAAATGGTTATCCTAGTGCATTCCGAGTCTACAGTATCTCTGGACACGGCTTTCTTTGCTTAATCTCAACCCAAAGGAATTGCAGTTCACAAAATTGTACAAATTTGAATAAATCAAAAGCGCCTAAACGATATTTAATCCGCTTGCTTCCCGCGGACTTAACAATTCTAAATTTCACCTAGCCCTGACCATGACAAAGGCACACTGTGGTACGGAGGTAAAACGACAAAGGAATGAATGTGAGGAACTTGGAGGAACAGAATAAGTAAATACTGAAAACCAAATAATATTCGTACCATAAAACAAATAAAAATGGTTTTTTATCGTCTGGAAGTTTGTTCTTCCTTACACTTTTATTACTGAGCGCTGTTTATCGTACAGTTCTTTTGATGAAAGTTTAGAGCGGCGCTAATTCACCTCTTCGCAGCATCAATTAGGAGAGAATTATTGTATATTTTAAGGTCAAGACTACAGATCAGTGGCCGATGTAGAACGTAGTTCCAAGTTTTCTTCTTATGCACTAATATTCATATGTTAATTGCGAAAGAAAGAAAAACAAATATGTCAAAGGACGCCGACACCCAGGGTTTCGCAGTTATGAATCCGACGCTTTAAACAGTTTCGGTCAAAAGAATTTCAGAATTTAGAAAAATGCCGTGAAGGTGGTGTACTGTCTGAACTGAAGAGAAATTGACTAGTATCGTACTGGAAAGAGGAAACCTGCTGACTTTGAAAAGTGAGATGTCAGGATTGCTGCCGGCTTTCATAGTTTTAGTATCTGTTCCTGAGGAGGGAAACTGATGACTAGTCCCTTGAACGAAGAAATCATAAAGAGGCATTGTTGCGCTATCAAACGGCATATCTGAACAGCGTGGTTTTGTGATGTCGCTTAACCTGTGCTCAAACCATGCCTTATGGCGGTGTGATTCACCGCGAGTGTTAAACGATTGTAATGCTGGTTGTTCAACTGCTCGGTGGATGATTTCATGATTTAAGCACTGGAAATCTGCACATTAAAAATAGCTTAACCTTTATCAGCTGATTCTCGATAATGCCCACCCTTAACATTCACAGCGAAGACGCTTTATTCGATGAAGCACATAAAAGATTGTTGCTTTAGCTGAGAAAAAGTCTAATTACAAAAAAATTTATCAATAGAATGTCGACAAAGGTTTAGCGCTTGAGACGCAGACAAAGCGACTATCTTACATGCAGTGAAGATTAGCAAGCTTTTTTAGATGCGTTTTGAATTGCCCGTATACGAAACACGGTACAGCTGATCTGCGAATAGAACAGGGATGCTAAACGATTTAGGAATCTGACTAACTTACGTAATTCAGCATCATCATCTCCAGCGATGGTACAGAACAGCCAAATCTACATATGTGCAATGCCTTAGTCTCGAACGGTTTGAAGCAAGTCCAGCCTGTATCTTGTCACTATCAAATCTGATTTTTTATGATATGCAAAAAGTTATTCTAACAAACGAGCAATAATGACAGTTGATTGGCATGCATCATCCTTGACTTCGGCGCATAATGAGGGTCAAATGGCAAAGCCACGTTAGGAATGGCTCGAATAAGTTCCGGAAACAAGTGACAACGGTAGTTTTGGAGATTAAGAAAAGAAGCCTTCTCATGGAGGAACATGTCATAAAGGATCTGATTACGGAAAAGAATATTTTTTTCTAAGACGCAGTAGCAAGTGTCTCAGAGCAAAAGTGTTGAAATGCTGCGAGCACCGCGGATATCATGGAGCAGAGACGTTCTACTCATGAAAATTGCTCAAGACGATCATCTCAACAAAATACAACAACGTACGTGAAATGTGTCACAGAATAATAATGCATGGAAAATACATTCCTCTTAGCAGAGATGTAGGAATATGTTCATAATTTCTTCTGCCAATAAAAATATAAACTCACCATCGCTCTGTACAGGATGATTTTTAA